AGAAGAAAATAAAAATAATACTAATAATAATAATATAATAAATAGCTATGAAAAATAATAAAATATATAAAAAAATGAATAAAATAATAATTGAAAAAAAAATAATCATCTCCATCTCCCACAAAATCTCTCCACTCTCCTTCTCCTTCATTCTCTCTCTAAACAGAGAAATAATAAAATTTCTTATCTTCTCCATATTCACTCGCTCCACCATGCCACCCAAACACTGCTCCAACAAAATCCCTCTGCACCCTCTCTTTCTCTCTGTAAAACAGAGAGAGATGTTTCTCTCTTTATAATCAGAGAGACATTTCTCTCAAAAGTCCTCCACATCCCCTCCAAAACCTCTCCAAGTCCATTCTCAATCTCTCTTCCTAATCTTCACCAAAAACCACTCTCATCCTCCATTTCTCTAGAAAACTGAGAAAGAAAATTTTTTTATTCTCTCTAGACTATATCCCACCACCTTTAAATCCATTCATAAACTCCACCTTCTCTATAGTCATCAACAAAAAATTAGAATCACTCTTATTTTAAAAATAATAAAATTTATAATAAAAATGAAATGTGGGTGTAGGATTTTTTATTTTGCCATCTAAATGATTCAAAAATATGTATTGTAATGTCAATTATTTTTATTTATATTTAATGTAAACTAGACAGCAAATACGATTCCAATGAAAATAATAAATCAACGAGCATAGAGCTTGAAATCACTATTTGTGTGTTAGCACATAATTGTTTAAACAGAGCAATGACTAACGTATTTCAATGTTATAGCAGGCCATATCACATTATTTTTAAATCGGCCTTTGATAACTCGTTCAAATATCAGCATATATGAGATCTTTAGTAGAGATCCTACATTTAGGAGAATAGCTAAAGAGGTTGCTAGTGATTCTAGCTAAATATCAGACTTCAAAGTACATATAATCTAATGTATACATTTTTTTTTGCTCTTTTCATGTACTTGTTCAAACTTTTTAACTTCTCTCCTACTATAGAAATGTAATGATTGACAGAATACATGTAGACAAGTGTGTTGTAGAGAAAAATTGATTACATACATTGACTATTCTGGTTTACCTAGACAGAATCTATTGGTTGTACGTGACTTGAATGTGTTTTCCAAGTGATATTTGTGGTTAAAAGGTTGCTGCAGATGCTAGCTGAGCTTTTGATAAGGTCTTAAAGGAAGATTTTAACTGATGAAATATCCTTTGCAAAGAGTTAGCATAAAGATTATGGGGAAATATAAGTATCGCCCACTTTCAGAGAATAGGAAATGTAGCATGTGAGCCCTAAGAGGCTCTCAATCGACAACATTCATCAATGTGCAATTTCGTTAAAAGAATGCTTGTTGTGTGGAAAACAAAATGGGTTATAATAACAAGTATATCAAAGTTTTCATTTGAGAAGCAATAATTCACCATTACAGCTATGATGATATGACATAACTTTATCATAAGACATCATTCTCAAGCAGAACCTTAATTTGGTTTGTGTAATTATAACAAAATAAATGTTCAAGCGAACAAAATAAATGTTCAACCTGAAGCATAGAGCATCACATTAACCAACGCATTTCCCAATTATATGATCCTGATGATAATGATGATGAGTATGTTGTTGATGGAGGGGGGCAACAAAGATGGAAAACTTGTGCTAAAATATTTTGAATCAATTGATATAACAACAACAACAACAACATCAAGCCTTTATCCTACCAAGTGGGGTCGGCTACATGAATCCTTTGTCTCTATTGTATCCTGTTAAGAGTCAAATTCTCATTTAAATCTAGTAAAGAAAGGTCATTTCTAAAATTTTCTAACGTCTTTTCAGGTCTACCTCTAAATTTCTTAACATAATCTAAATCAAATGCATCTACTTTCCTAACCGGTCATTGGGAGGCCGCCGTTTTATGTTACCAAACCATCTAAAGTGACTCTCTCTAATCTTATCTTCCACTGGAGCTACTCCAACCTTTTCACGTATATGCTCATTTCGTATCTTGTCTCTAACAGTAAAGCCACTCATCCACCTGAGAATCCTCAACTTTACAACACTTAACTTAATATTATTCTTCTCTTTTAATGGCCAACATTCTGCACCATAAAGCATTCCAAGTCTCACCACCATCTTATAGAATTTTCCCTTAAGTTTGAGAGGGGTTTTTCTATCACACAATAAGCCCGATGCATTCCTCCACTTCAACCATCCAACTTGAATTCTACTAATAATATTCCCATATATTTCTACATCACTCTGAACAACAGACCCAAGATATCTAAAACGTGTGCTCTTATTAATGACTTGATCGCCCAAAATCGCAATTCCCCCACTTGATTTGTTACTACTAAAATTACACTCCATATATTTAGTTTTAGATCTACTCAAATGAAAACCTTCAAACTCTAAGATTGACCTCCATAATTCAAGTTTACCTTCAACTTCCTCTCTAGTCTTATCAATAAGAAGAATAGCATCCGCAAAAAACATACACAGAGGTACAACCTCTTGCAAATGTCTAGTGAGAACATCCATGACTAAAGCAAAAAGATATGGGCTTAAGGCTGATCCTTAATGTAATCCAACTAAAATAGGAAAATACTTGGTCAAACCACCTTGTGTTTGAATACAAGTAACAGCAGATGTATACATCCTTAATGACTTGAATATAAGCATTATTAACCCCTTTCTTTTCTAAAATTCTCCATAATACTTATCTTGGAACTTGATCATATGCTTTTTCTAAATCAATAAATATCATATGAAAATCCTCCTTATTCTCTCTATACTTCTCCATCAAACATCTCAATAAATGTATAGCTTCCATAGTATACCTAACCAGGATGAATCCAAATTGATTTTGAGAAACATTAGTATCACGCCGCAACCTATGCTCCATAGTTTTAAAGTATGACACATTAACTTAATTCCTCTATAGTTTACACAATCTTGTGCATCACCTTTATTCTTAAAAATGGGAATCAACACACTCATTCTCCACTCATCTTGCATCTTTTTTGTCTTCAAAATATTATTAAAAAGTTTTGTAAGCCAAGAAATTTTGAATCAATTGATGAATGAACAGTAGTTTATTCATTAGATAATCTACAAAGCATTCTATTTGTTGTATTTACTAACAAATTCTAATTAGGAACAATCTAATATTTTAAATTTCTATGATTGCTCATAAAGGTAGTATGTTGCATTATTGATTGATAGCCTACAGTTTATGTAACTTTAAAAGGATGCAATGAACAATAGTGGATTTGGTGGGGCCAATTTTGGAGCAATGCGGCGACAAGAATAGGCATTCAACCTCTTTTATGATTATTAGGTCCGCCGTTCAGATGTTGCTCGGATATTAGAATGAATAATAACTACAAAGGAAATCAAGTCTATCCATAGTCTTATGTTGTGTGCTTTTTATTGGGTGATTGAAAATTTAATATAAAACTTTTATTGTTTATGTCGTTGATGCAATGTCAAAAAGTTATGTATTTGTAGAATCCTTATCCAATAGCCAAATGTGATTTTTTTTTTGTGGTCTTTTTTTTTTTTTGGTAATTTAAAAACACATAAAATGCTACAAAAAAATTGTTTTTCTAGCAGAAACTTTCCATCACAATTTTTCTAACAAGAGATTCTCACTAACTTTGTAAATAGAAACAGCAGCCATATCAAACTAAGCCTTAATAAAAAACAACCAGCTTGGGGAATCAAGTGCATGGGTTTGAAAAGGGATAATATATTTCTCCTTTTACTAAAGAATGAGGTACCTAATTGCATGAACCTAAATTTAATCAAAGCAACAACACCAAATCCCTGTTTGAATCATTCAGAAAGTACATGCATTATTTCGTGATGTTTTACCACATAACATCATTATAGATAGCGAAATTTTCAATTTGGAGGCACAAAAATGAGAAGGAAGTGATTACATAGGAGAATAAAAGATTTAGCAACCATATGCTAAACTAACATGCCTGTGCTAATATATCTAAACTATTCGGCATAAAAATAAAATAAAATAATCCATAAAGCGAAGAGTAAGGATGGTCAGAAAATACCAGTAGAAAATTTTCAGGTAAGGAAAAAATTAAGAAGATTGCATATATCAGAATGCAAATCATGACATCAAGCGAAAATTTCTCCAAAAACACAATAACCGTCACTGAAATCAGCGAAACTGATAATATACTACATTAGTTTCGGAACAGGGAGGAATAGTACCCGTGAGCGACTGAAAGCAGTGGAGGTCGAAGTTGTCGGCTTGAAGAAGCTCAATGCCGAAGCATCCAATGGTGGGGGAAAGCTGCTGGGAGATGGCGTGCATCGAGTGCCAAAGGCTTGCGAGCCGCAAGCTGTCGTTTGTGTCCATTCTACCAGCTGATCCGTAATCCTTCGACCATAATCAAACCCGATTTTTTTTTTCTTTAGAATAAGAAAATCGCTAGGGCTTTCGAATCCTAGGAAAGAAGATTGGGGTTCACTAACCTTGTAGAAGATGAGACCCCCTGATTTGTTTATGATGAAGAGATTGTAGATCGCAGCCATGGATTCGATTGTGCTCCAAAATGGAAGACTGGCTTTGGAGATTGGCTTTACACCCCAGGGAAATTGCCAAGAGGAATTTCGTCCAGTTTACTTCCCCTTTGGTGGCGAGAAATTATTTGGTGGGGAGTCCGGAAGTAGCTGTGGTTGGCGACTACAATTAGGGTTAGTTTGGGATAATTTTTTTATTATTTTTTTAAATGATTTTTTTACGGGTATTTGGTCTTAGATTGGATTTAATTTTAGTAGAATTTACTAAATTTTGTAAGTTCGGATTTAGTAAATACTAGGCTCATAAATTTTGAATTGTATTTGCTATGACAACTTTTAAATCATGTTAAATTCAGAGAAGTTGTTTAACAACATATTACAGGGTTTTAAACTGTTGGAGATTTAATATTGGAGTATTATGAAGCCACTTAAGTACACCTGTTATAAATTAGAGATAAATCTATGAATATTTTATCAATTACTTATTAAGGTGTTATTTTAATAAATATCCTTATTATTTCATTAATTTTTGTTAAGAGAGTTGCTATTTGTATGTTTTACATTCTTGCAACTTGTAAAGTTTTGATGATTCTAAATATTATTGTTTTAAAGTTTTATTTTTCTCCTAATATTTTTTAGAAAAATTGTTTTTGCTCTTGTGTGGGCTAACATTTCAGGATAATCGAACTCCAGACTAATGAAGAATTCAAATCAAAATTCAGCATGAGATAATTTGTAAATTGAATCTTGTACTTTTCATTGTATTGAGTTTGAGAGGGAGTGATTGTAATTAAGTAACTTAGCACACACACACACACACACTTGGAGAGATCTTTAAAAAATCATACTGATCGTACGGGACGAACCATGTTCGTACGGGACGATCAAGTTAGTTATCCCCTCAGAAGAGCAATGGAACGAATAGGAAGTGAGAAAATTTTTCTAAGTCCTGATCTTCTAGACGAATTTTTCTATTCATCCCAGGATGAAATGCTCTCTGGAAAATTTTCGTTTAGACGAAATCCTGTTCGTGTAAGGACGAAATGTTCTCTAGAAAATTTTCGTCTAGACAAACTTCCATTCATCCCAGGACGAAATGCTTTCTGGAAAATTTTCATTCAGACGAAATCCTATATTCGGCCCAGGATGAATTATTCTCTGTAAAAATTTCGTTCAGACAAATTCCAATTCGTCCCAGGACGAGATGCTCTCTGGAAAAGTTTCGTCCAGACGAACTCCTATACGTCCCAGGATGAAAATGCTCTATCCTTTCAAATTTTTATAACGTCCTACAGTTTGTCGAAACCGACTCATGGTATAACTGTTCGAACCGGACGAACTTAGTTCGTACGGGACGATAATCGGGTACGAAGTCAGTTCGTACCAATATACATTGGGTTCGTATGCAACTGATTTAAGTAAATTCGGCCAAGATGATCCACGATCGTACGGGACGATCCACTATGTACGGACTTGAATATCATCAGTTTTTGGACGTTTTTTTGTGTCTTTCCTATATAAAATCCAATTAGAACTACCTCTTAGTCTTTTTGCCTACTGATCTTCGTGCCAATTGAAGGGTGACTCAAGAAAAGAGTGTGAGAGAGTGTTTGAAGGAGGATTCTTACTATTGGAGCGTGAAGGATTCACTTGGTACTCAAAGGTATGAGTCTCCACTTGTGATTTGTGATTACTCTCTTTTCTCTCATCCTTATAAATTTATTGTGAGAAGGTCTGTCAAAGAGATCTGGTTATCTGCCGACACTTAGAGAGTGTGAACAGACGAAGGGTTCTCTGCCTACACTTGGAGAGTATGAAATGATGAAGGATTCTTTTCTCGCACTTGGAGAGTGTGAAAGGACAAAGAGTTATTTGCCTGCACTTGGAGAGTGTGAAAGGACAAAGGGTTCTCTGCCCATACTTGGAGAGTGTGAAAGGATGAAGGGTTCTCTGCCTACACTTGGAGAGTGTGAAAGGACGAAGGGTTCTCTGCCCACACTTAGAGAGTGTGAAAGAACGGATGGTTCTCTGCCAACACTTGGAGAGTGTAAAAGGATGATGGTTCTTTAACCCACCTGGTAGTGATGGATAAGAGTTTTGTAAAGGCTTCTCCGCCTTGCTGTGGGTGCAAAAGGAGAGTCACTAGTGGTATTAGTGCAATACTCGGAGGGTGCCTCCGGGGAGTGGATGTAGGTCTTATTTGACCGAACAACTATAAATCTTGTGTCTTTTTATTTTCTGTTGCATTTTATTTTATTGTTTAACTTGTGGTTGAAAAATATTTTCTATAAAATTTATTAAAGTAAATTTTCAGTATAAAATTTTAAAAGAGGGTAAATTTTTAATTACCAATTAACCCCCCTCTTGGTTAGCCGCTTGGACATAAGTTTAGGTTTAACAATCTAATTCATATTGAACAAGTTTCAACAAGTGGTATCAGAGCTTTGTTTCAAAATCATAAGTTTAGACTACTTTTTTATTAACGTAGATGACTATATTTGAAAACTGAAATACACTTAATGGTTTCTCTATAACTAGGCCTCCATTGTTCAATAATATTCATTTTGATTTTTAGAAAACAGGCATGTCTACATTTTTACAATCACTTGATTATCGTATGTGAATCTTAATTCAGGAAGAGTATATAAAACAAACTAGACTAGTTGACGGAGTTAGAGTTGAAACATCTTTTGTGGACTGGACAGTAGAAGAACGTGACTTAGCACAACTAAATGCCAAATGCTTAAATAATTTCTTTTGTACTCTTAAATCAGAAGATTACATGCGGGTTTCTACTTGTAAGAGTGGAAATGACATATGGGATAGACTTTGTATAACTTATAAGGGGACTAATAAGGTTAAGCAATCTAGACTTAATATCTTGTTGCATGATTATGAATTATTTCGCATGAAACTAAATGAATCTATTTCTGATATGTACACAAGATTTACACAAATAGTCATCTCTTTACATACATTGGGTAGGAAACTAACGAATGCTGAAATGGTTAATAAAATTATTCATTGTTTGCCTACTACTTATGATACTAAAATTACTGCAATTATAGAGTCTAAAGATCTAAACATTTACTTTATTGACAATCTTCTTAGGTCGCTAATTGCTTACGAGTAAGGAGTTAGCCGAAGAAAGATTGATGCAGGTGAACCACGAAGGGAGAAGAACATAGCACTAAAAGTGGAGGAATCTAAGAGTGAACACTCATAACCTGAGGATGAAGACGACATTGCATTAATGACTAGACAATTCAGAAGTTTTCTGAATAGGAAGCAGAAGAGATGCCAGCAATGGAATCGAGGTAAATTTAATATGAATGTCAATGTTTCAAATGATGTTATTTGCTATGAGTGCAGGAAACTTGGACATATTAAGACAGATTGCCCAAAACTCAAAGGCACACCTAACAAGGAGAAGGTAGAGGAGAAACTAGTTGTGAAGAAGGGCAAGAAGAAATTTCAAAGAGCTTTCTGGGCTGACTCAGCTTCGGACTCGTCAGAGACGGAAAAGGAAGAGGAAGTCACTAATCTGTGCTTAATAGCCGATAATCTTGATCGGTCAGATCAAGAAGAGGTATGTGACTTAACTTACAATGAACTTTTTAAAGTTTCTGAACACATGCATGATGCATATAGGAAGATAAAAAAATGCATACTAGTCTGATCTTAGAATTTAAGGAACTATAAAAGGAATATGAAATTCTTAGGAAAGATCATGCTTTAATTGATGACAAACACATGAAATTACTTGATGAGTTAGATGACTTGAATAAAAATCATAAAAATTTGAAATCATCCTATACAGAACTTAAAAAAGAATTTAATTTTAAGTATGAATCTGAGAGCAAAATTTATAGAATCAATTATACAAATTGAATTTTGAAAGATATGAATTCATTTTACAAATTGGCGATAAAAGCTCTCAAGGATAATAGGATACCCCATAAACTTGAAGATTTCACTAATCTTATTTTGTATCCTAAATTTATGCAATCCCTAAATAGACAAATGAATAGTAGAAGACTTAGGAATCCTTTTCCAAAAGTCAAATATAATAATTGATTGGACACATAGCTCACGCCTGTACTTTGAAGAAGAAAATTTATTTGGTGTGGAAATCTAAGATGTATACACCTAGACATATTATGCTTGCATCTTTTTATAAATTATCAAAAGAAGAACCCAAACTTATTTGGGTTCCCAGGTCTAACGTTTGATAATCTTTTAGTGTCTCTCTCACACAAAACCTCGTGAGAGCATATGGTACTTTGACAGCGGATGTTCAAAGCATATGACTGGAGATACTGCA